CACCCTGGTCTTTCCCTCCACACACATAATAAGGTCACCCCGTTTCCAACAGCAGCCCATGATCCTGAGAAGCTTCACAGCTGCATACAACTTCTCACTTCACTCGTCAGTGGGAGGAGATGTGTGGAGGAAAGTTCTAGCGACATCAGCTCATGGGGGTTTCCAGGCATACAACCACCAAATTCTAAAAGGGAACGTGTTTGTGGAGTGTGCATATGTGATGTTTCTGGGGGATTTCTGCAAGTCTCAAGGGAGCATACATTGGAGCCGCTACTCCCCTCCTCTGTTTCACATTCCCACCATTCAAGATACGTTCAAATTATTGCACCTCCACCAGAATCAGGGGAGTGCAAAGCCTTTTATTTTGGGCTGTTTTGTGAGCAAACGGCAGGAACTGCCCCAAGAATCTGGAGGATCTTAGTTCTAAAACCTTTTCTAATATAAGTGTTTAACTAGCCTGAAAAAGTGTTCAGGTACTGCGAGCAACAGGTTTTCCTGCTTCCCTGCCGCAGGCCAAAAAGTTTGAGAACCACTGCTCAAGACAAAACATGCCCAGCTTTTTAAACCTTTCCTCATAGATCAGGTTTATCAGTTTTGTTGCTCTCCTCTGCTCTGTTTCCAATGTGTCTACTTTGGTCCTGCTGTGAGGGCAAGGGACTGCACTTGATGACCTTTTGAGGTCCCTTCCAGTTCTAGTATTCTGTGAGTCTAAGAGGTTGCCCATGATAGATAGACACAGTACTCTAGCTGAGGTCTCACCAGTGCCAAGTAGAGTGGGATAATTATCTGCCATGTCTTACATATGATACTCCTGTTAATACCACCCAGAATATGACCCTTTTAGCATCTGCATCATGTTGTAGGCTCACAGTCCATTTATAATCTATCATAACCCTCAGCTCCTTTTCTGCAGTATTACCCTTAGCCACATGGGCAGCTAGTATGGTAGGCAGGGGAAGGCATTGGCCCCACCCACATTCCGTTCCCAGAATGCCTGCTGTAGGCGTCCTGGGGTGGAGTGTTACTACCCCAGAGTCCATCCTCCCTGTGCACCTAGCTGGGGGCACTGTAGCTGTGCACCTTCTGCCCTCCCCATGTTCTGAGGCCGGGGAGGCTAGGGCCACGCGCCCTCCACCCTTCCTGTGCTCCAGGGATGGGGAGGCTGGGGCCCATGTACTTTCTGCCTTCCTCTGCCCGTGGTGGGGTGGGGTGCGGGTGGGACCTCAACAGAAGGACTGGGGTTAGGGTGGGGGGCTTGCCTCCCCCAGCTCAACTTTCACAGTCCACCCATGCTTAGCCAGTTATTCCCCATTGTGTAGTTGTGTGTCTTGTAGAGGAGCACAGTGTCTGAACTAGACCCAGCAGCAGACGATAAAATCATTAGAAAGAACAGAACACAAGCTAACAACCAAAGATAAAATGGAGGTTAGGCACCACAACCTACTAAACATGGCACAAATGTGTGTTTACTCTAGCATGGACAGATTCCTCTGGCTGGAAACAGCTACATTAGAACCCTAAAGTTTTTAAAAGGCAATGTATAGTTTATCTCTCAAGACATTCATATAAGCTTAACAAGTCACTGGAGAGTGAAACAACAATATCACTGTATCTAATGCTTACTGTAAGCAAAAGATGAATGGATTAGAAAGCAGACTGTTTATCTTTAATTATTAATGTGTTTGAACTAAAAAACCCCTGCAAAGGTGGGTGTTGTTTTTCAGGGAAGGAAAGGAGATAAGCTATTCAGTACCCATTACTTTTTTTAAATGCAATCTTTCAGGCCTTGTCTAGTATTCTTACAAGTGAGGACAGGAGTGATGTAAATACACAGTAGAAGGGAGCACGCTGTCCTTTTGACTTCCCGTACTCCTCGTGAAAGCAGGACAATCAGCATTGATGGGAACACCCTCTCAGTTCGAATTAGTGTGTCTTCACTAGACCCGTTAATTCGAACCCCAGAAAATCAACTACGGCTGTTTTGAACTTATCTGTAGCTTATATAAGAGGTGTGGCAAGGGATGATTCTTTAATATCGGAAAATGGTTTGAGATTCTCCAATGGAAGGTGCTCCATGCACACACACAAAGTATTATTTATTATGCTTTCTACTGTTGGGGTGTGTGATTTGTAGGCCTAAAATGTGCGGTTTCTGTTTTCCTGCAAATCTTATGTCCTATGGGTTTATCCATCCCTGATGCTGGGTCTGTAGATATTGATCTGATGTGCTCTATGCTGGTCACCCTTTTCTCTCCGCCCACTCTTCTTCATCACAGTATATAACCTGTACTCCATGTACATGCTACATTAACCCTGGCTGAAAGAGAGACTGACTTCTTTCCAGCACTATGCCACAAAGGGCCTGGGGAGAATTTTCCCAGTGCAGGGTCACCATACATAAGCATATCGTGTCGCCCTCACAGATCCCAGAGCAGAGTTTGCTTTAGTATAGGGTTTTCAGAGGAGGCTTTAAACCAGAGCAATCCTTCAGAAGCTGTTATTTCCAGAGTCCCAAGAGATGCAAAGATGCCTTCTAATAGTGATGACTGATATTGTCTGTGGACTGTGCAGTGAGAATGACCCTGTTTACATTAGCCTATCGTTAAAACCTTGATTTCCATGCATGATGCAAACTGTAGCATACTACATTTCCATATCTGCTTCATAATATTTAAAACATTAAAATAGGCATGCAAAGCTGTGCTTTTATTTTCAAGTGTGGCCAAGTGTTTTATTTTTAGGATATGCTTATTGAGGAAAGAATCTCTGCAGGGCTTATCTCTTTGCTAATAATAATGACCTCATCCAGCCACAGTGGTAACAGCGTTCCTGCTCTGTCGTTTTCATGCTCTGTTTCGGTCCACACTCAGACATTGCAATGTGCTTTAACAATCAGCTCAAAACTTTTAAAATGGTAAGCTTTTAATACTGTAACAGCAGGATTTATCCATAAAACAATTAACACTCCCTATTTTGTGCTTCAGATTATTATGATGTGGCCTCTCTGATTACAAATGTCACTGTATCTTTCTTTGTGTGTCCTGTAAAAAAGTTTTCAGTGTCATCTATAAAAAATATCAAAACAAAAACCCACCAGTGTCCCAAGCTTTTTAATATATTGTAAAAAATATTAAGTTTTGTGACTGAATGTAATCCAGCGCTGTAAAATAGAAGGTATATATGTTAGAGTGCTTTAAACAAATTCTCAAGTAGAAAGAAATCAGTTTTTTAAAATACATCAATTTTAATCTCTTAAATGTGTGATTTCATTGGTTTTCCCCTGTTTAAATTTTAGATTAAATTTAAATTAATTAAAATTAAAAAATTAAATTTTGGATCTCTTTTCATAAAGAGAACTCCTTAGCTATATAATTATTAAGCTACAGATTTATTTTAAAGACTTAATATAAAGTTGATTTCTGTGAAAGACAGTAAGGCTACGTCTAGACTGCAAGCCTCTTTCGAAAGAGGCTTTTTCGAAAGATACTTTTGAAAAAGCCTCTTTTGAAAAAGAGCGTCTAGACTACAATCAGTACTTTTGAAAAAACAAGTCGCTTTTTCAAAAGAGAGCACCCATGCAGTCTCTTTTGAAAATGCACTGTTTGCATTACATAGCGCCTTTGTTTTGAAAAAGCACTTTCGAAAAAAGGCATTATTCCCCGTAAAATGAGGTTTTCCGCAGTCGACAAAACCTCTGCGTTATTTCGATTTACTGTCGACAGAACGCGGCAGCAGTCTAGATGCAAGTAAACATTTTTCGAAAAAAGGCCACTTTTTTCAAAAAATCCCTGTAGTCTAGACACACCCTTAAGTGTGTGATGTCAGAGACAGGCAAGACATTCACAGCATTTACTAAATAGATGGAAATAAAAAGTATATGGGAACAGGACAAAACTGAGAATTTTCAATTCAAACAGAATCTCAGTGCTAAGACACGGCTGTGTTCTTGACATTTACCAAAAATGTTAAATGGAGAACTAGATACTTTTGAGAATAAATGTCAGCGAAAGCTTCTGGGCACTTGCTAGAAAGACATCATTATTAATGAAGAGCTCTGAGAAATAACCGGCTATCAGCTCATTCATTACCCACCTGAATGCACTGGACATATGTGAGGCATATACTCCAGATACCAACACACAGCTTCCACTTGGCAGCTCCATGTGTAAATCTAACCAGTAAAAGGAGATGAAAGCGAACAAGGGAAACCCGATGAAGACCTCAGCAAAATAGTCTTTCTCTGCCATCTGCTCCTGCTTCTATCTGTTATGTGGCACAAAGTGGAACGGAAGAAACAAGTTTTTGCTATGTGTTCTAGTATAGGTGCGGGAAGCATGTTATGTAAAGGTAATGAAATCTATACAATTAAAAGCAAAATATTAACCAACTCTGTAAAAACTTGTTTGCACAGTGTAAGTAGCAATGGGATAGGGGATGTACAGGTTAAAGTTCTGGCCTCTTTGATGTCTCAGTGTCAAGAAAGACTCCCGTTAACATAATCTGAGCTAGAATTGTACCTAATCCATGTCAAGTTAAGCATGTGTAAGTCTCTGTCAATGGGGCTGTGTCCAGACTCAGGGGTTTTTTCGAAAAAAGTAGCCTTTTTTCGAAAAAACTTCACCTGCGTCTAGACTGCAGCCGCGTTCTTTCGAAATTAAATCGAAAGAATGCGGCTTTTCTTTCGACGGTGGTAAACCTAATTCCACGAGGAAGAACGCCTTCTTTCGAAAGTGCTCTTTCGAAAGAAGGCATTCTTGAAAGCAAACAGGCTTTTTAGAAAGAGAGCATCCAGACTCACTGGGTGCTTTCTTTCGAAAAAGCGGCTTGCTTTTTCGAAATTCCGCGTGCAGTCTAGACGCTCTCTTTCGAAAGAGGCTCTTTCAAAAGTATCTTTCGAAAGAGCCTCTTTCGAAAGAGGCTTGCAGTCTAGACATAGCCTGGGTGACAAGGGATGGATCACTTGATGGTTACCTGTTCTATTCATTCCCTCTGGGACATCTGGCATTGGCCACTGTTGGAAGACAGGGTACTGGACTAGATAGACCTTTGGTCTGACCCAGTATGGCCGTTCTTTTGCTCTGTATTCAGGTCCTCACTAATTATCAAATTAAAGGGAAAAAATGGTGTTAAAGGCTTTAAAGTTGTACACTGCGACATAAACATTGGTACCAGTGGTATTATTGCTATGATACGCAAGGAGCTTCCTATAGATTTCATTTGGTTATAATTTTGCCTTCATACACGCGGCACTCTTTGTGGCACAGTCTGCTCACTCACAAAGAAGGGGTCTAATTCTGAGCTCACTCACGCCATTTTAAATCTGATGTGATTCCACTAACCTCAGTAGAATTACTCTCAGTTTACATCAGTGCAAGTGAGAGCAAAGTCAGCTCCAGTGTGCTCAATGGCAGATAAATCACATCAACCCAGTTCTCTCTAACCTCCATTTTTAAAGGATGTACTAAAATTTGAAACAGGAGCCCTAAAATCAGAGCTTGTATAATTTTTAAGAACTGGTTTCCCACTGCAGTGTTCAGAAGCTGAGAAACATAGCTGTGGAAATGCCTGTCGAGAAAAGGCTTCTGCAGAATTTGGCCTTTGATGTTATTTTGCACAGTGGAATGGTTGTAAAGTTTTAAGACTAAGTTATTTGATATTTAGGCTACTGACTACTGTGTACCAATGAATATTCTCCCCTGTCATTTATGTATATCTACTTATGAGTAATCTAATCTTTACATGATGCAGATCCTTGAAACTTAGCCTTGGCTCCAATCTCCATAGAGACAAATAGCCCCTTCAGGGTCATATTTTCTTCAGTATTTTCATTTGTTTTTAATTAAGCTGCCGCTCTCTTGTGTTCCAAGACTGTAGAGGGAAAACAGTGTATACCAGGACACATCATAGACTAGAACTTGTCATTATTCTTGATTAGATCTTTGTGCTGAGCTTCACTCCTGTACAGAGTGCTACTTTAATGTCTATGCATCACTTAAGTCCCACTTAAGCGCTGTAAATTCACTAAAGCTTAAATGGTACAAGAACTTTCCCAGGATTCTACTTCTTAGAGGACACTATAACTGGAGCTAGGTGACGTCCGTACCCTAATCGCTAGGCTTATCGACTGCCCTCCCATATATGCAATATGAAAATGTGCGTCTGCTTATTTTTTCTGGGGTGAATGCAGAGATTTCCACTATGTTTATTAAGTTCTTGCAAAGACAGATGTCTGTGTAAGGCCTTCAGTACAGCACCCCTTGGTTATGGTGGGAACTGTTTGGGAGAGGGTGGTTTGGGAGTCATGAAGTCCAACGCATGAACATAACCTGTCTTTCTGTTTAAATGCCTCTTATCAGCTAATAAGTATTTTCTGATTCTCACAAGAAGTTTGTTAAGTGGGTATAGAAGAGGCTGGCTAAAACTGAAAAAAGCTGGGAAATTTCACATTAAGTTAAAAACTCTGAGCTAGAGTCTCCACTCCTGGTACTCTGCTGCCATAGACAGTGATTTGTACTACTACAACTCAGAGGAGAATTTGGCTTGCTCTACTGAAGCAATCCACAAGGCAAACTTGAAAAATCCCATTTACTTGAGGCAGGTAGAAAGCTTTCATAGGAAAAGGGGACTATTGCCATTCACTAACTTCTGCCAAAAACGAGAGGAAATTCTGCTGTTTCGAGCCTGAAGGTTCATGAGAAAACTTTTCCAGTATATGATACATGAAGGACTTCGTGGGCGAGGTAAAAAGGCTTCCATTTAATGTGATTAGAAATAGAAGGATTAGAAGTGTGTGAAGTGGAAGGATTACAACATGGTAGAAGAGGCAGGGCTAACTCAATCCCTTCACCTCCCTAATGGTTTGATGTTCAATGAGCTGACTTTTGAAATATGCAGTTAGTCAGAAACTGCTTGTTTTTTGATCTCAGGGTGATGTGTTCATGGGAATGTCATGCTTCCATACAGTTTACAGGATTTTGAACACTCCGTATAGACCTTCATAGAGGATACTAAGTTTCACTCTCTCCATCCTACACAAGCTCCTCCCTTTCCTGACAGCGAGTGGAAAAAGTGCCTCAGAACAAGCTCTCGGACAACATAGTTTCCATGTCCGTCAGAGCGGTAGCCTCCAAAATTTTCTGTAAATTACTCAGTTGTGTCCATGTCATAAATCCAGGCTTAGGGCCTGGACTGAGATTACTAGACTCATTTTACACAAGGCCATTGAGTCATCTTCAGATAGTGATTCAGATCCAAGCCACGCTGTTGTCATCAACCTAGAGATCATACCTCTGTGTTAGTCATCTGAGTCATGGAGTCCAAACACTGGTCCCCTGGACAGGCCTGAGGTTCCAATTTTCACACAGTTTACCCATTATGACCCCTCCCCCACTGGTTCCTCAGGACCCACCTATTTCAAATAAGCTAAATTGCTCTGACAGGTCATTGCATTCTCTTTAGTGACAATCTAATGCTCTCTTTCCATTAGTTGGAGAACACCAGCTGACTGGCCATAAAGTCGCGGTAAAAATTTTAAATAGACAGAAAATTCGGAGTTTGGATGTGGTTGGGAAAATCAAGAGAGAAATTCAAAACCTAAAACTCTTTCGGCATCCTCATATTATTAAACTGTAAGTAATATCGCTTCTGCTTCCCTGTGTTCATATTCCTTTTCAGGTCTATGCTGAATCAGAAGGAATTCTCTGGAATGCATTTTTGTTTCATGAGCAAATTAAATTACACTTGCAGAAGAGGGGAATGGGTGAAATTGTCATTTTGCATATTGAAAAGCATATCAGTGAACAGAGCCACCTAATATTCACCAAATATAATATATAATATAATATTCACTAAATTCAGGACCTTTTGTATTTTTTTCCCAAGTAAATTGATATACCTATTCATTATGGACCTGTCCCATGCTCACTGAAATCAGTGATTTCAAAGAGCTTTGGATCAGGCTGTCTTTATGCAAGTCTAGTCATGGACCCTACCAAGTTACAAGTTAAGGCTTTGATCCTACAGATCTAACACATGCTTTCCTTTACTTGACTTCTGTGGAACTACTCACAGTAAAATAAAAAGCTAAGCAGGTGTGAAGGTTTTTGCCGTATTGGGGCCTAGTCTTGCTACACTGAAGTCAATGAGAGTAGGATCAGAGCCTTGGTAAAATATATAGACCAGTCTTGATGGGAAACTTGGGGTATTATCTTGGCACTACCATGCACAATAACTTTGCAGAATCAAGTTCTGCATACTTACACATGTGTAAACCTCATTCTTTTCAATGGTAGTTGTGAGAACGGAGGGCTTGCAAACTGCTCCTTCAGGCTCAAGTAACTATCATAGATGTCAATGGCAGTGATTGTTCTCTCTTCTCTTTTGACCTAATCCTGCAGTCTTTGAAGGGAATGAAACTATTGTCTGAAGAATGACTACATGATCACAGGTTTCGGGTGAAATCCTAGCCCCGAAGCAATTGGAGTTCTCCATTAATGGTCTGCACACTAAAGTTATCAGAATACTAATGTTACCGTTTCCCATTTATTATGTGAAAATTCAGGCAAGAGTTTTCAAATTCAACACTCCAAGGTATCCGAATTTAAATTGCACATAGGTAACTGCACTGCAATAGTTTAGTGTTCTCAAATTAAAAAGCCAGAAGCTTCAAAACGTAACTACACAAATCAAGTTGTGATAGTAGCCAGCTATTAAATACATTTGGCGTAGCTATAAAATAAAGTGGTTGCATGGCAATTAGAGGATAATCGAATGTTTAGAGCACTCTTGAAACTGTTACGTAAATGAGGCACCTTCCTCTTCGAGGCCAGCAAATTCTGCTTTTAGTTAATCACTGTAATGCCGAAGTAACTAATGACTTTAATGGAATTATGCCACCACATATCTGAGACCAGATTAATACCATGTCATGCACCAATAACAAAAAAGTGCTTCTCAAAGATGAGTCTTACCCGATTCCTATATTTGTCAAAGGGAACAAGTTATGGCCTAAAAACTAAATCTAAGTTAAGAATATCAGTAGAGTCTGGGCTAAATCATGGAATCATGAAATTGTATGTTAAAGAAAATGAGCAAGTGAAAATGCATTATATTTAATTTTCATTTTTACTAGATTTATTTCCTATATACAGTAGCAAATTATCAGAGATTTTATTAATAACTTGGTTTACTGGATCTCAAAGTACCTAAAGTATATTCATCCTTATAGATCTCTTGAGGGTTTTACTGTTTGAAGAAGGCAGAAGTTATCTGTTCACTTCTCATATAATGATTACAGAACACAAATTAAACTATAAGCAATGGAAACCCAAAATTTGAGTACAAGAATGTGATCCTCAGCTAATGCTACTAGAAATGTATGTAGTTTCATTTGGGTCAGAGTTATGCCAATTTACACCATGTGAGAAATTGTAGAGTAATAGGAAACATTTACATTTTACAAATTCACTCTCTGTCTTCATATGCATAGTGTAAGATTTATGCTAATTAGCTTTTTTTAATTAATCTAGGATGTTGTATATTTTTACTGTTATGCAGTGTCCAATAGATTAATTGTGTTTTCTGGATACTAGTCTGTTTCCTTAAAATATATTTTCCTGCC